TTCTACGGTTGGATGACTCATTGACTCACCGAATCGTTAGCTTGATTCCGCACGCGAGTGGATGTATTCCGTTGTTTGCGTGCGGTTCGTTTAACCTCGTCGCCTCGTTAATCTGCTTCGTCGCATCTCACTTAGCTTCGGTGTTGTGGACTAACGATCACGCTTGGATACATCGCCCGATGGTTCGTTGGTTTGTCGAATCACCGTGCCGAGCTATGTTAAGGGACCTATAAGCAGTTTTATATGCCTACAGTAGGAACTCCTTCGAACACTCCTAGCTTCGATAGGATATTCAAGTGAGGTGCCCTGTGCTAGGTAGAGGATGATGGGATCTAGCCAGCAGGGCATCGCAGGCATATAGGCAGTGAAAATTGCCTTTACACAAGAGAGCTCAAACCTTACACATTTGAGTTCGCCTGGGAGCTCAAGGCCAAGGCAAAGCTTGCCTGCGTGCTCAAACCAAGCAGAGCTCGCTTGCAAGCCAAATCTAGCTAACTGTTGAGTTCACCCGCAAAGCTCAATCTAGCCAATTATTGAGCTCGCCCACAAAGCTCAATCTCACTTGTCTATTGAGTTCACCCGCAGAGCTCAATCTCTCTTGTTCATTGAGCTCACCCGCTCGAGCTCAATCACGCCTAATTGGTGAGTTCGCCTATAAAGCTCAACCTCGCCTATTTGTTGAGCTCGCCCGTAGAGCTCGACTTTGCTTGTTTATTAAGCTCGCTCGCAGAGCTCGATCTCTCCTGTTCATTGAGCTCGCCCGTAGAGCTCAACTTCACCTGTTTGTTGAGCTCGCTCGTAGAGCTCAACCTCACCTCTTTATTTGAGCTCGCTCGTAGAGTTTAATCTCGCCTGTCTATTGAGCTCACCCGCAGAGCTCAATCATTTCTCCTTTTTAAGCTCGCCCATAAAGCTCAACCACTCCTAATTGTTGAGTTCACCCACAGAACTCAACCTCTCCTTATACTATTGAGCTCGACCGCAGAGCTTGATCTCACATATTTATTGAACTCACTCATAGAGCTCAAGCATCGCCTATTATCTTGACTCGCTCGCATGAATCAAGCTTGTCAAATCATTAAGCTCACCAGCATGAGTTCAACCTCGCCTGCATGCTTATCTCGCCCGCACGAGCCAAGCACGCTTACAGGGAGTTCGCCCGCACAAACTCTGCTTACCAACAAATGGTAGCTCACACATTGGAGGGGCCTGCCAGCCAACCCCGTCTATTCGTCAAGCTTGCCTTCAAGCTCGCCTGAATGTTCAGACAGCTCTCGAGCTCGCCTGTAGGTTTGCCAACCGCGCCTGAGCAATGCAAACGGGCTGCTTGCTTATGGGAGTGGGCCTACCACTTCCTATGTTCTGGGTAATGATGAGACATGGCTCTCATCATCCCCATAGTCGTCACATCCCACAGCTAGGAGAGGGCATGGTGCTCCTCACCGATTAGTGATCATATCCCACAAATCAAAGGATGGCTCATGCCATCCCTGGCCTATTTATAGCCCCCTTCACCAACATGAAAGGGGTTCGGTTCAGTTGAAGGAGGGGGAGATCTTCATACTCAAGGCTTGCGATCTTAAGACTTATTGGCTTCAGAGGCTTGACATCTTCAAGGCTCTTCAATCACAGAGGCCTTCATTTGGCTTGGTTTGGGAGAATATTACTAGCTCTTTGCTTGGATTATTGAAGTAGACTCTATCTGAACCCTCGGATTTGAGGCTCATAAGCTCTCTGCAAACCCTTGCATTGTAGCTCTCTCCAAGCTCGCGGCTTTGATACTTTTCAAGCCCTGGTATAGTCAAACTTGATCACCCTAGAGCCTCTACTGCGCACTGAAGCTCCAACCACAACTTTAATAAGATCGTACAAGTGAAGCAAACTCAGCGTGAGTACCGAGGGGGGCATCCTACCGCTACCAATGAACCCACGTTAAATAAGAAGGGTCATTCCCTTCTCCTCTGTTGTAAAACATTAATCATTAGTTTGTAACAAGTCGATCTTATAAACACAAATGACCCCTTGAGTGGGAAGTTAATTTTTTACATCCGACTGAAGATGGCGACCACAGTGCGAGAAACCATTCACTCAGATGAATTGGTAGTGGCATAGTTCGACGAAGTTACGGAAGGGACAACTATTGAGTCCCTTATAATCGAGTTCGACCAAGCCAAGTATGAAGAATACTTGTCTTCTTCCTCCTCTGGTAGCCATGTATCACGCAAGCACTACAGAGTCGTGCATGTGGCCCGACCCCAAATGGTTAAGGCAGCCACGCCCGAGATCTCTACCCGAGCTAAAGCAGGGGGTTCTATCTCCCCTAAGCCAACTAAGGCCAAGTTAAAAGCCAAGTGAGCAAGCCAAGGGACTACTCGATGGGTTCCCAAGCCACCCACGTAGTCCCCCATGCAAGAGGAGGATGTGGTATGTGTCGGTGCGGACCACACCTTCACCATCGACTTAAGTCTTCCCCTCTCCAGAAGAGCCCAACAGCGGCGATGATAAGCTCTCGCCTATCAAGAAGCCTGAACCTCCACTTCCTATGATGGCCTGAATTACTATTTAGGTGTAAGAAAAGCAAGACAGGAACGTCCAGGTGGGTTCCCCTGCATTGGCAGAATTCCCAAAACTAGTGAACTTATCATTCCATGCGAGCCTGACATTTCAAACAAGCCCCTCTCCAGCAGCCGAATTCCCCACTTGGGCAAACTCAGCAACTCAAGCAAGCCCACCAAATTAGGCGGGCTTCACTCTTCAAGTCGGCTGTCCAAATCTGGCGAGTCACCCAGATCAGGCGAACCCCATGATTCAGGTGAGCCACACCTTCAAACAGGCGAGCTCCACATAATAGGCGAGCTTCACCCCCCAAATAGAAGTAGGCATGTAGGCGAACCCCAGCAGGACCATCTAAGAACTAGCCTTAGCCAAAAAGGCAAAGCCAGAATGACTCAAGTGAGCGAACCTCGCCTGAATGAATAGACGACACGAGCTCACCAGTAGTCGGCTGAAGCTCACTCAAATTCCAGACCTCGCCTAATAAGGCAAGATCGCCTAAATGAATAGACGGTTCAAGCTCGCCAACAGTTGGTTAAAGCTCGCCCAAACTCTGGACCTCGCTTATCAAGGCAAGGTCGCATGAAGTCGACACTTGGGAAATTTCCCAAATTTTCTCATTCCGACTCCTTTGAGCCTCTTCCATGCAATTGCACATTTGATCCTTCCAACGCTAGGGGTTGCCACCACCAACCCATAGGAGATCTCAGGGATCATCTAACTCACAAACGCTCTATTCAAGAGGCAAACCCTCAGTGCCATTACGAGAGGCTCATCCAGGCGGTACTCGTAGACTGCTAGTGCACCAAGATGTCGAAGCCATCAGTGTTCGAGAGGCTTTATCAAATATCTCTTGAGCTAAGACATCCCCGCCGAAGATGCCATCGTCAGAAGAGGCGAGTCATTGGTGACATGGAGCTTCCAATAGCCACAGTCAACATGATAGGGAAGGGTAAATCATGGTATTCGGATTCATCAGATCTTGAATATACCCCAGGATTCAGATGGCCCCCTATTGAAAATGGGGGTGTACACCAACGCACTCGCCTTCAAACAGGAGCGGCTATCCCGTTTGATTAGGCCCGTTTGTCACCTATCTACGACAACGAGGATGAGGTGTGCTCAGTAGCGGCAATATCTTAAACCTCAATCTCAACCTATAGAAAGCATGTGAAGGTGCACATGGCGGAATCCTCGGAAGACTTGGCCAAGAAGTTTGAGGAGCAGCAGGTGACCATCAACTCTCTGAAAGAGCAGATGGCACATCTTCTGAGCAAGAAGAAGAAGAAGAGAACTTTGCGGAACTGGCAAGGACTCTTGAGGAATAGAGAGAGAGAGTTTACTCCTCCTCATACGACTGAAGAAGAGGATAATCATAGATCACATTCAGATTATTCCCACAAATCTTCACAGAGGATGTCCCACTCCGGCAGCTCTCCCTAAGACACGTGGCTCGATGAATTATAGATTCAACTTGATGCCTTGAAGCTCTAAAGAAACATGAGCAAACCGGGGGTGGTCAGACCTGTAGGCATGTAAAATTGCTTATAAGTCCCTTGGCATAGCTCGGCGTGATGATTTGACAAACCATCGAGTGACGAGGCGACAAGGTCAACGAATCGCACGCGAGCAACGGAATGCATCCATTCGTGTGCGGAATCAAGCCAACGGTTCGGGGAGTCAACGAGTCATCCAAACAAGAGCGGACTCGGATGAATCACGACCGAATCAAGATCGGTTTCGGACTCGAACTCAGAAGTGGAGTTACTGCCAAATCAGGAATCCGACTTACTGCCAAATCAGGTCAACGAGTCAAGTCTGGATAAATCAACCACAGAACCGAGAAACCGATACAGCGCAAAACGATTAGAAATAACAAACCCCGCCCCATCAACGTCATGAATATCCTTTCCAACTGAATCACCAGTGTTTGGTGAAAATTGATTAGGTCCACTACTTTGAGAACTGGCTGTGGGAAACATCAAACCTTGTGGACTGCCTAACAAGCTCATGTATGACATTGGCGGCTGTGTCATCCCACCATAATTACCATCCCATGGTGGGAATGGTGAGAAAGTATGCTGAGGTGAGGTGAATGGCTGTGGTCGAACAGGCATGTAGTTCATGTTAATCCCTGATGTAGGACTTGGCATTGCATTCGAATGAGAAGGCACGCTTTGCTTATCTGCCGGATTGTTAGCCATACCTAATATATTTTGTAAGCATAGCCATATTAACAATAAAGAAATTTATAGAATATGGGATATGTATGCATTTAGCAGGGAATATAGTAAACGATGATATTTCTAGTTCAAACAACATAACAAAATAGCAAGTGATAAAAGTAGTAATGGTTTGTTACAAGCAAAGAAACATTAAACAATATCGATGCGAACAGTATTTTAAAATTCACCAAGTTATTACATAGCCATAGAACAAATACCACACTAAGTTAAACCGCTCTCCATTGTGTTACCACCATTGTACTTTGCACAATAATCCACCCACATCGCCCAAGCAATTTGATCTCGTAACTCCTTCCATTCATTTCTAACATCTCGATCCTCTCTTTGTGACCTACTTTGAGTATAGTCCACCACATTTGAATCGTCTTCATTTGTCTCTTCCCCAGTATCTTCATCAATTTCAACATTTTCATTTAAAATATCATCATCCGGATCCTCCAAGGCAATAAAGTTGTGCAACACAGTACACGCTAGTACAATGTCCACTTGAGTGGGAAATGGATAATTCGGCTTCGCCGCAAGAATTTTAAACCGATTCTTCAGTATCCCAAATGTGCACTCAATTTTTGATCTTAAAAATGAATGCCTTAAATTGAACAACTCCTTCCTATTCTTTGGTGTCCTACCGGTGTGCTCTTTTAAATGATATCGGACACCGCAATACAGGGATATGAAACCTGGCATTGTGGTGTATCCAGCGTCACATAGGTAATATTTACCTACATTAATTAAACAGTATTTTAAAATCTAAAATATTACCAAGTAGTTAATATATTATTCATAATGTGCACAAGTGAAAATGAATACCATCATAAACTCGGAGCCCGTAAGGCTGTGGTCTGGGGAGATCATGCAGAATCATCCCGAAGGAGGAAGCCAGTTTTGGAGCGCCTCGGTCCAGTTCCCGACGAGAGAGGCAAAGTTCCAATTCACGAGCGTTTGGGCCCAATGAAGAAGCCCAGAATGACTAAACACGTTGGGGGTCGCCGTCACCTCCAGTATGACAAAGAGCTCAAGGCAACTGCGCGCACCAATTTGCGCATCGAAGTCCAAGAGCACACTGAAGACTCGCGCCCACAAAGGCACGTTTCGAGGCGTGTAACTTTTGAAAGCCCAAAGAAGGCGATCCAACCTCAGATGGAAACATTATCATCTGATAGTGATACGTGTCCTCGTCCGGATCTACCTCCCCCCGCAAGTCCAAGAAGTTCTCCTCCAGGAGAAAAGTTCGTTGGTTCGAAGAAGCTCGGAAAGCCAACGAAGCTCTCACCCCAGCTGACGCCAAAGTCGCGTCGGGTGAAGTTCTGCCGACCTCCAACCAGGTCAACCCAACTCCCGCCAACGCCTCCACTGTTGAAGGCGTTGTGACTCTCTCAAAGAGAGCCCGCCAGAGGCGTCGTCAACGCCTTGCGCGGCAACTCGCCAAGGCGATGGAGTCTACAGACGGATTCCACTACAACGCGGATCTGAAGAACAGAAGAGGTAAACAGCCTCAACCACCAATGAACGGCGACTCCTCCAAGCCGCCAAAGAACGAATGGGTCCGCGTCAAACGGAACCGTTCGACGCTTGAGGAGCGTATCCGCAAGCGCCGCGTGATGTCAGCACAGGCACGGGCTAAAGTCCAGGAAGCCCGTAGAAGACTGCAAAAGGAGGTGACGAAAAAGCCACCACCAACCCGCCAAGTCTGGAAGCCGAAGTCTGAAGTGGCGACTCAGGCCAAAAAGCAACCATCGCAGCCTTCTAAGCAAGGTCAAACTCCGGCGAATCAACCAAAGTCGCCGTTAATTCCTATGGCTAAGAATCATCCCGAAGGAGGAAGCCAGTTTTGGAGCGCCTCGGTCCAGTTCCCGACGAGAGAGGCAAAGTTCCAGTTCACGAGCGTTTGGGCCCAATGAAGAAGCCCAGAACGACTCAACACATTGGGGGTCGTCGTCACCTCCAGTATGACAAAGAGCTCAAGGCAACTGCGCGCACCAATTTGCGCATCGAAGTCCAAGAGCACACTGAAGACTCGCGCCCACAAAGGCACGTTTCGAGGCGTGTAACTTTTGAAAGCCCAAAGAAGGCGATCCAACCTCAGACGGAAACATTATCATCTGATAGTGATAGTGTTATACCTGAGAAGTCGTGCCCGCACACGATAGGTTACTCCGACTGTCAAAATGACGAGTTGTACTATCGTGCTGGGGGTACGAATAGAACCAGGAAGAGGAGTCCCCGAGAACAGGAAATTCAATGCCCCTGTTCCAAACTCATTCGGGCGGTATTGTCTGAATGCAACTGCATCAAGGCGGTCCCCGAAAGAGTTTCAGTTTTTGAAAGACTCAGTGCGGAGACGCCAAAACCCAGGCCTAGGCGTTTTCAACGAAGAAGAAGGATGATTGAAGACGGAGAATTTCCGAGGGTCACCACCAACATGACCAGCAAGGGGACATCGGCACAGGATGATTTCGAGTCGATTCTGAAAGCATCCCGGCGTCTAACCCGTCTGCAGTCTGGAGCAATCGCACGAGGAACTTATGGTAGGGTTCGGACAAGAGTACCTTCAGAAGGTGAAGAGTCGGATACCTGCTCCGCAATCGCATCAGATAATACAGTGTCCAGTGAGGGGGAACCCCGCGAGTCACTGATGATAAGCGCGGAACAAGTGGCCAAGATGCTCGAAGATGCCATAGCCAAACAACAGGAAAGCTTTAGGTTCGAGATGCAGATGGCCATGCAGACTATGAGAGAGATGCATGAGCAACAAATTCAGGCACTGACGAACCAGCGAGGTGAACCAAGCCACCGTAACCAGGTTGTTCAGGAAGAGGAGCACACGGATAGGGATGAAGCTCACAATGCCAATAACCCTCCCGTCAATGCAGGGGGTGGTAACGAGGATGCCAACGAAGATACAAGTGAAGACTTGAAGATCAAAAACCTCGAGAGCAAAATCAACACATTGATCTCCGCTCAAGAGACGAAGAAAACAGGCATTCCCTGTCCATACCCAAGAGAGTGGGAATCGATCCCATATCCGGCGAAGTTCAATCTAATCAACTTCACGCCGTTCGATGGGAAGGGTTCCCCCACTCAGCATTTGATTTATTTCAAATCGCACCTGGGTATTATTTCCGGCAATGAGCCTCTGATGGTGCGGTCATTCGTCGGCACTCTTCGCGGAGCCGCCTTCGATTGGTATCGCCGCCTCAAGCCAGGAAGCGTAAATAGCTAGGACGACATGGAGACAAAATTCCTCGCTAACTTCTTCGACGACGACACCGAGATATCTATCGGATCATTGCTCGATGAGAAGCAGAAGGACGGGGAGTTAGTCGACACCTTCGTCAAAAGGTTCCGGAACAAGGCGATGAATTGCCGGGACCCGATCACAGAGGAATTCATCCTCCAAACTTGCCACAACAACCTTGCGTTGGACGTGTTGGAAGCAATGGGAACAGCACCGTCTGACACTTGGAAGGATCTGAAGGTCCGAGGGGAGCAGGCTGAGCGATTCCTTAGAAGGAAGAAGGCCGAGAGGAACCAACCGACGGTTAATCCGCTGGACTCAAATTTCGCCTCTCGTGGTAAGGGCAAAACACCTGCAGCTACTGGTGGTGCTAATCAAGCGTCACAACAGCAATCCCGAAGGCAGCAAAAGACTTCGGGTCCGAGACTCCAAAAAGAGTACTCTTTCAAGGACGAAGACGTTCCAGCCATCTTCGAATCCCTCCTTGAAGGTAACAAGATCAAGCTACCACCTATCACAAATCAGGAGGAAGCTGACAACACTACGGACCCAAAGTACTGTGCATACCACAGAAGGACAAGATCCAGGCGCTAATTGATGTAGGCGTCATAACCCCGAAGCCGTCCAAGAATGTTGGAGCAAACGCGGTTTCAATCAGCTTTGGATCAGTGCCCACAGCGTGGTTTGAACCAAAATGCATCCCCAAGGTAGGAATGAAGACAATAAATGACGACCCATACGGACAACGCCAGAAAGGACTTGTGCCACACACAGCCCCGAATGGTGAGATTCTTTGGGTTCATCCAGATTTGATTGGAGATGAACAATGGACTGGAGCCCTTTCCAAGAAAGAGTCAAAAGGAAAAGGTAAGTCTTGTTATGGAGCCTCGGCCATCCCAGAAGAAGACGACGAAGCAATCCCTACCTTCTCGTTTCTTGATAATGAACATGCAACTCTTATAACCACCGGAGAACCAATACTCGCCACTAGAAACTGGAACGAGTATCGTTCCGAATATCCAAGTACCTCTGATCGACTAGCTGAGGTAGAGACGATTACAACACCTCCCGCACCTGCTGAGAAGACACAGCAGGAACACCTGCACCAAGGTGTTCAAAACCCGAGGCAGTCTCAATTCAATCAACAGTTTGGAAGAGCTCGTCTCCAGAACGCTTATGCAGACGCACTGGCGGCACTAGCAGTATCACTGGCACAGCCTCCCGAAGCTGAGCTGTTAGTCACAGTACGGACGCATCAACTCTGCGTACCCATATACAGTACGGAGATTGAAGAAGAAGAGGATAGAAACGTGAACGCCAAAGAGGTGAATTCAACTCAAATTGGGTCTGAGTCCCGAGATTGGCGTTTTCCTATCATCGACTACGTCCAATATGGTATCTTGCCAGAGGATGTAAAAGAAAAGGAATCAATCCGCCGAAGAGCTCCAAGATTCTTCTATAATACTGAAACCCATACATTATACCGTAGAGGGTACGACGGTCTTTTACTCCGATGCCTTTCGAACAGAGAAGCAAAGGAAGTTCTTAAGGAAGCACACGAAGGAGAATGTGGTGCGCATCAGCCCGGTCCTAAACTGTATGATCGCATCAGGAGGATGGGATATTTCTGGCCAACGATGGTTCGTGACGCAATCGAATACGCACGAGAATGCCACGCTTGCCAGATACATGCGAATTATATGCATCAACCGCCAGAGCAGTTGCACACGTCAACCACTTCATGGCCGTTCGAGACTTGGGGTATGGACATAGTCGGTCCTATTTTTCCCCCTTCAGTCAAAGGTGATCGGTTCATCCTCGCGATCACAGATTATTTCTCAAAGTGGGCTGAAGCGATTCCGCTTAGAGAAGTGAAGACGAACAACGTCATCAATTTCATCAAGCATCATGTCATTTACCGACACGGCGTGCCAAGAAGGATCATTCATGACAACGGTCCACAGTTCATAAGCAATGCCTTCGTCAGATTCTGCGACAAGTTCAAAATTGAAGATGTTTCATCAACACCTTATTATCCCGCCGCGAATGGATTAGCGGAGGCGTTTAACAAGACGATCATTAAGATCCTGTCCAAGCTCGTGAAGACCAATAAACGAGACTGGGACGATAAACTCGGTGAAGCACTCTGGGCTTATCGCACCACCATACGCACGCCTACGGGAGCTACCCCGTATTCGCTGGTATACGGATGTGAAGCTGTGCTACCGCTGGAAATTCAGATTCCGTCCCTTCGGATCGCCCTCGCAACGGAGATGACGACGGAGGAACAACATCAGAAGCGTCTCGAAGAGCTCGAGAGGCTGGATGAAAAGCGTTTGGAGGCTCAACAACACATCGAGTTTTACCAAGCCAGGATGTCAAGGGCTTTTAACAAAAGAGTCCGACAGGGAAGCTTCAAGGAAGGAGATCAGGTCCTCGCTGCTCGCCGACCGATAATCCTCAATTCCAAGAAGAAAGGTAAAT